ATTAAGGCCTACATTTTATTTCTCTTATTATTTTTTTTAATTGTGAATTGGGTGAAAATTTACAGAGCAAATTCACTTTCCATACAGCAGTTCACGTACACTGTCTCATGACATTGACCACAATTTACCACAATGCAACAACTCCCCTCCCACTTCCTCCCGACAGTCACCTCTTCCCTATGTCCATCCCTCCATGCTCCCCTGCCCCTTGAGCTGTCTCCCTGTGCATAAACAGCCCTTCTTTCTCCCATGATTGTTCTCTCCAAGGAGTGTATGTACCTCAGGTACATGTTTAGCTCATATGCCTGTCTTTTGTTTGGCTGGAAGCCACAGGTGTGGGTTCGATTCCAGACCTGTAGGGCAGCTAGGGGCCATAGTCTCAGTGGTTCCACCAGGCTTTGTCAGACCAGCAAACTTGGTCCCCCGGAAGGGCCATGTTAAGCAGTTCACTGCACTGCGCATACTGATAGGGCTGTGCAAAGGCTTGATATCCTTTCTGTGATGTGTATATTTTAGGATTCTGAGCACATGAAAGCAAACAGTGTGTCCTCTTATTGCACTCAAACTTGTCATCCCTTATCTTAGATCAGAGCCAAAGGCAAGGCTGTGTCCTTTAAGTTTGGAGTGGGATGGGGGCCTGTTGTCTGAGGGGCACTGGGGTTCGTGGCCCCTAGAACTCAAACTGTGAGTTCTGGTGGCATAGTGCCTAAGGCATTTGACTGCTAACCAGAAAGCTGGCAGTTCAAACCCATCAGCCACTCCTCAGAAGGTAGGTTGTGCAGTCTACTTCTGTAGAGATACTGCCTCGGAAACCCAAGGAGAGGTTGCTATGAGTCGAGACTTGACCCCAGTGAGTTTGGTTTTTTGTTCTAAAGAGGATGCTTGAAGGTGACCCCAGGGCTTCTCTCACACCCTGCTCTCCCAGCTGTTACAGAGCTGTGACCGCTGCATACGTGGTGTTTGGTGCCATGGAGTCAGCTCTGACTCTTAGTGGCCCGAGCACAGCAGAAGGGAACATGGTTGGGCCTCACCAGCCTCACGGTCATTGCCGCTCTTGAGCGCATTGCTGCAGCCGCGGTGTCAGTCCATGTTGTTGAGGGTCTTCCTTTCCTTTGCTGACCTTCCGCTTCACCAAGCGTGATACTCTTCAGGGACTGGCCAGGAGCGCCCCGGCTGTGCTTCCAAGACAGATTTGTTAGTCCTTCTGCCAGCCCGTGGTATGTTCACATTCTTCACCAACACCACAGTCCAAACGCACTAGCCTTCTTCAGTCTCCTTACTCATTGCCCAGCTTTCACGTGCACATGAGGCAGTGGAGAACACCTTGGCTTGGGTCAGGTGACACCTTTGCTCTTTCACACTGTACAGAGGTCTTGCGCGGCAGATTGGCCCTGGGTGGGGGTACGTTGTCTGATTTCCTGACTGCCACCTGCCTCTGTGGTGGATGTTTGTTGGCCGCTGTCAGTGCCTGGGGGTGTGACCCTTAAAGAATGATCTTTCTTTCTTATTTTTGACTTTTCACAAGTTTGTCCAGGAAAAGCTGCATTTTAAACACACGTTTTACGTTTTGCTCTCTTCCCCAGAGCAGCCTCACTAGGGGGTTTTGGCACACGATGCAGGCACTTCCGACTGGGATAGGTCCATGGTGGTGGGGATAATGACTTGTCTTTGAAAATGAGAAGCAGCAAAGTCAAGAGCCACTCACTGCTTATTTCAGGCGGGAGACAGGATGGGCTGGCATGTGGTCTTGGTGATTGTTGTTTGTCCACGTTTTAGGGTCTGACCTGGGGGGCCCTGTCCCCATCATCCACCATGGTGACGCAGCAGTCAGTCTTCCTCAAGGCATTGATGGAGGAAGCCTCTCTGGGGACAGTGCAGTGTTGGGGTCCTGTCGGGGAGACGAGGGAGGGTGCAAGCCGTGGTGTGCTGGGGCTGACTGCTGCCACCCCATGCAGGTGGCACTCTGCAAGGCTTTATCTCCGACCTGCTGAGGAAGAGAGCCCCCGTTTTAGCGCTGAGCCTGCTGCTGGCTGCCGGGGCCCTTGTAGGATACAGTCGTGAGTATGCTTTGTGACCAAGAGGTTCTCACCTCTGAGGAGGAAGGCGGTTGCCGTGAGTACAGGTCTGCCTGGGGAGCCCCTGGAGATGGCTACAAACGCACGCCGTGGCCCCTCTCATCCCCTGAGTGCCTGGTGACACCAGCCTCGTGTAGTTTATGTCTGTCAGGGAGGAAGCTGGCAGCCCTCAGCTTCGTCACCCGTTTACAGGCTTGCTGGGAGCGTGCAGACTTTGTTTGAGGGCAGGCTCCAGGAGGCAGCATTACAGCCAATAAAGAGATAAAAGGGAAGAAGGTTCAAAAGAGGAAGGAGATGGTCATTAGTGGGCTTGGTGGGTGGTGTGGGGGCACTGTGGCAACAAGAGCAGGGCTTTATTTCTCTCTCAGAGTCCCCTTAGTGTGTTCCAGAAAAGCTGGAGGAGGCCACAGGAGCCACGGCTCGTGGTCGTCTCTGGGCGAGGTGGCAGCCTGACATCTCTGAGGGCTGCTCTGGGGAGCCTTGGGTTCCGTGCGGTGAGGTCACGGCGGCCCTTCTGCCTCTTCCCCACAGACTCTCCTGACAGCAAGTCCATCAACGCACTTCTGATGACGGTCACAGGTATGCATGGCCCTCACTTCTTTGTCCCACCCTTCTGTGAACAAAGGACAGGAGAGACTCGTTTCTCCCTGGGTCTGAGTGACACCAAGGCCTCGGCTCTAGAGAACTCACAAGACGAAAGGCGAGAAAGGGCCCTCCTTCTCCACTTCTCCAGGCCCTGTTGCTCTGCTGCTGTCGGCCATGATCCTCGGGGCAGAGTGGGCCTTCTCTAGAGTGTCTGTAGCCCTGGCTCTGACGCTTCAGGGAAGCAATGAGCTCTGAGGCACTTGGTAAAGGCCTCCAGGGTGGAGGAGCCATTGCCCTCAAGACAAGAGGAAACACTGTCTGCCTTCTCTACAGAGTCAGTGGGCTGCAGAAGGTCGTGCTGGGGATACCAGTGCGGTGGGAACAGCGCCCTGTTCTGCCTTCAGTGTGTCTGGCTGTGCTTCCTTACATCTTGTGTTAGATCATCCCCACACTGGGCCTTTTATGATACTTACAGCACCCTTGTTATCATGAAATAGAATTGAACCCTGATTTGCAGGATTGGGAGGGGCCTTCATCATCTGGTCCAGCTCCCTCGGTTTGCAGGAGTGGAAACTGACCTAGAGAAGTTAGTTGGTTTCCTTGAGGGGGCGTGTGAGCTTAGTGACCGAAGTGAAATTGGAATTCCAGTCCTTGGCTGTCCTGCTGTATAATCCTTGCCATCCGGTCATAGTCGTGCTGGAAACAGTAACATTTAGCGTGTGTGTGTTTAGGCTCGGTGTGCCTACTGATCCGTGATACATACATGAGCGTGTGCTCACACTCTAGGTAACACTCCTGAAGTGGTGGTGCTCTCCTCTGTGAGTGGGCAGACGCGTGTCCAGGTGTGGTGGGAGCTCCCGCTGCCATCAGAGGCTCTGGCCTGGCTTCTACGTACACGCACCTCTGTTCAGAAGCTTTTGAGTTTTGGTTAAAACAGGGACTTGGTAATGAGAGGTGCTTAGTTCTCAGGATGACCCCTGGGACAGGTGGCAGACAGGGTCACCCGCACCATCTCAGTAACTCCCTTCTTACCTCTGCTGTGTGAGATGCTTGGGGTGCTGCCCCGCTTACTGGAGTGGCAGACTTGTGTGGTTGCCTTTTGGGAACGTGCACCACGCGGATGAGGAGGGATGAGGCGCCCACCGTTTCTGTAGCGTTGGCTTCTAGTAGATACACTGGAGCGTCATAAATCAGGATGGGGTTTCAGAGGCGTGGATGCTGACTGCTTTGAAGATGACTCTGTTGGGGAAGGTTTCCAGTTCCACTGATTGTCCCTCCCCTGTCCTTTTCTCTCCAACGTCCGACTAAAGTACCAGAGTAGAAGTTGCCTTACTCAGCAGGTTCCTGGCTGTGTAATGAATGATGTTTTACTAACAAAGTGTTGTTCTGTGTGTGACTTAGGATTTTTTATCGGTGGACCTTCCAATATGATTAGCTCTGCGATCTCTGCGGACCTGGGGCGCCAGGAGCTAGTCCGAGGGAGCAGCGAGGCTTTGGCCACAGTCACGGGCATCGTTGATGGAACTGGGAGTATTGGTGCAGCGGCGGGCCAGGTGAGGGTGTGAGGGTGCGGCGGGCTGGTGGGGAGGGGGTGGGGTGGGCTAGGTGGATACCCATACTAGTTGGTCCTGTCCTCAGAGGGGAAGTGCCCACCTTGATGGCTTGCACAGTGGGTGGCTTCGTGTGCTGTGCTGTGTACTGCCTTGTCTCCTCTGAGGCCCAGCTGATGCCCCTGACGTGGAAGGTACCTGCACATATTTTAGGTCCTTCTTTCCAGAAGTTTCCTTTGTGTCTGGAAATAAGCTAAGACCTCAGAAGATAGCTCCATCTGGGCCAGCCCCGAGCCCTTCGCGGCCTGTTTGGCACTCCACAGGGAAGGGGCAGTCCTGAGATGTCTGGCACGCAGGCCCTGCCTCTCCGCTCTCCTGTCTCCCCATATCACACACACATGCACATTTCTGACATGGGTGCTCACTGGAAACAGCACTGGACCCTGCAGCTGCCTGGGTCACTGTCCCTGTGCCCCCACGTCCAGAGATCTAAGCCTGTGCTTCAGAAGGTGGGCCGTCCATTTCCTGTGTCTGAACAACCCAGGTGCCTCAGGAAGACGTAGACACTGTGCTGAGTACAGACTTGCAGGTTGGGCCTGGGCGTCCGTATTTTCAGCAAGCCCCCTGGTAAACTCAGGGGTTGCCTCAGCTGACATTGAGCTGCCACAGATCTGTTCTAATCGGCCTTTTTTGCTTAAATTCAGTCCTTCTCTCAGAAGAGAAGGTCCTGAGTCCTGCTCTCCTAGAGTGTGGTGCTCCACGTCTCACTGAGTACTGCTTTTGGAAAATGGGGACTTAGGATCACCTGCTGGCTACCATAGTTGAAGCTGTGACTGTGGGTGAGGTTTGTAACAGGGAGTGACAACCAGATACCAAAGGCAAGACCTCGGGATGTGTGCCAGATGGTCAGAGCCAGGCCCTGAGGCGGGGACACTCCAGGGCAGAGGATCTGAGGAGGGGCCAGATGGACAGGAGGCACAGAGAAAATGCCCTCAGTGTTGACGTTAAAACCCACGGCCGTCGGCCAGTTCAGACTCACAGCGACCCTACAGGACAGTGGAACTGCTCTGTGGTGTTTCCAAGGCTGTCCTCTGTTTGGGAGCATTGCCAGGTCTTTTTTCCTGTGGAGTGGCGGACCCACTGATCTTCTCGGCGGCTGAATGCTTTAACCTCTTCGCCACCAGGGCTTCTAGTGTTGACGTTGTTGTTGTTAGGTGCCATTGAGGCAGTTCTGCATCACAGATCCTGTGTACAGCAGAGCGGACACTGCTCAGTCCTGTGCAGCTTCACAGTCGTCGCTGTGTTTGAACCCATTGTTGAGCCACTGTGTCAGTCCGTCTCGTCGAGAGTCTTCTGTTGAGTTGACCCTCTGCTTTACCAAGCATAATGTCCTTCTCCAGGGACTGAGCCTTCCTGGTAACCTGCCCAAAGTACAAATACGATGTCTCGCCAACCTCACTTCTAAGGAGTATTCTGGCTGGACTTCTTCTGGCACACATCTGCTCTTTCCTCTGTTCTTTTGTTCATGTTGACATTAAACCAAGGAACCCCACTGCACTCAAGTCGATACTGACTCATAGTGACTTTATAGGACAGAGTACAGTTTCCCCATAGGCTGTAAATCTCTCTGAAGCAGACTGCTTCAGGTGGCGGTGTGGCTTGAGTGGTGGGGGTGGGTTGTCAGTGTCTGGTTGTTAGAGGCTGAGGAGAGAGCAGGTACTGAGGAGACACAAACCCTCTTATTCTATGGCTTACCCCCATGACACTGTGTGTGTTTATCATCGTCTCCCCGACTATAACGTAAGCTCATGAGGGCAGGTGTCACGTTTGCTTTGTACTCCACAGCCGTCTCAGAGCAGTGCCTGGCATATAGTGCGCATTTACGTTTGTCACCTGACTGTAGAATATACTTGATTATAATATGGTTGGAGGATGATATTTGAGACCAAAGGTCAAACAGATACTTAGCACAGATCAGGGAAATCTGCCTCGTTGGTTGCACTGTGGAGTGGGAATCAAGGAATACGTGTGGCCGTCTTGGGCGTCTTCCTGTGCAGGGTGTGGGGTGAGTGGTGGGCAGCCTTGTCCGAAGTGATGGTATTTAACTTCTGTTCTGGTTACGTAGTGCCACTCTGACAGAAATATACCACAAACGGGATGACTTGAACCAATAGTTTATTCTCTTATAGTTTGGAGGCTGTAAGTCCGAGTTCAAAGTGCCAGGCTTTAGGGGCAGGGTGAAAGCCCCTCAGCCTTGGGCTTCAGCTCTGCCTCCTGCTGCCAGCCCATGGGAGCTGGAGGCTTTTCTTCACTCAGACCATTGCTGGCTGATTGACAAGTCCAAGGTTGATATGTAAAAAGACATAGTCCTGTTGTTACCAAACCACACAGCAGGCCATTAATTCAAGTCCATTGTAAGTCCCGAGGTCGGCAGAGCATGGCAGACTGCTGAACAAAGACACGGCTACATGCAGGGTTCAAGCGTGCCATGAGCTGGAGACTGTCCCCAAGGCTTCTCCTTATATACTGGAAGCAGACCACATCCCAAAGGCAGCTGCTCAGCTCCTTGTGGTAGATCCCACTGTGGAGTTGATTGCCAGTCTTATCATGGGGAATAACTACCACCAGCTGCCCAGCCACTCAACCAGGCCTACCCAAGTTGATATTACAAATTTAACTACCACACCATCTTCACTAATGTTTTCATCATTGATAAGTGTGTGATGATTAGCATTTCAGGGAGTTTGCTTTCATTCAGAATGACTCACCTACTGAGTGCAGATCCCTGGCTATGAAATCGGTCCCCATGTGCCTGGCCTTCATGGCCAGGCAGCAGGCTCAGAAGGAAGTGCTGCCCATTCCCTCATTCTCGTGGCTGGGCAGCAGGCTTAAGAGGAAGTCTTGTCTGTGTTCCTTATCCTCTGATGCTCAGTGTTGGATGTTTTCCCAGATCCTTGATTTATTATTAAAACTGTATGTCAGTCTTGTCTCCACTCCCCCCCCCACCACCACCACGAATAACACCACTGCCTGTCTTTCTCTGACTTCCCTAGGAAAGAATCACTTGTTCTTTCCTCCATGTCTCTGTTGCCGTTGCTTGTATCCCTCTTCTGGGCACTTGCCACGTGTCACTTGTGCCATTCTGTCCCTTTGTCCGCTGTGCCAGGCCCAGCATCCCTCGTCTTTGTGCTCCAGTGGTTGGTATATCCTTGATGCTAATGGGAGCTCAGTGAAACTAAGTTTAGGGGTGTGGTGACACGGTGGTTATGCACGCAGTTTCTAACCAAAGATTGCTGGTTCAAGTCCAACCCAGCAGTTACGCCAGTAAAAAAGACATGGCGATGTGCTTCAGTAAAGATCATGGCCAAGGAAACCCTCTGGGGTTCTGCTCTGTCACGTGGGGTCACTGTGTGTCAGAACCGACAGGATGGTCCCAACTACAGACAACATTGACACACAGTGTCTGCCTAAGAGAAGTGTCCACGCTGACATGGATGTTCACAGCTGCAGTCTTCAGAGTAGCCCAAAAGTGGAAACCAGCCAGGTGCCCATCAGTAGAGGAACGTATAAACACATTATGACCCATTCAGATAGTGGGATGTTACTTACTCAGCCCTAAAGAGAAATGAATGGTTGCCAACCTGGGTGAGCCTCAGACACACTATGCTGCATGAAAGAAGTCCATGAGAAAAGACCATTTCCTGTATGTGACTCCATTCACGTGAGATGTCCAGAATAGTTAGATCTCCAGCGGAAGAGCCCAATGGTGGTTGAGGGGTGGGCAGGGGCGGCAGGGACAGGGAGAGGAAGAGTAACTGCCAACAGGCACAAGATGGCTTTTGAGGGAGGTGAAAATGTTCTGAAGTTAGATTGTGGGGACGGGTGTGTTATGAAAATACACTAAATCCAAACCACACCCCCTATCATGGAGTTAATTCCGACCCACAGGCCCTAAGAGGACAGAGTGGAACTGCCCCACAGTGTTTCCAAAGCTACAGTCTGTCTTTTTTTTTTTGTGATTTGAGTGAAAGTTTACAGAGCAAATTCACTTTCCATACAGCAGATCATGTACCCTTTGTTTCATGATATTGACTACAGTTTACCACAATGCAACAGCTCCCCTCTCACTTCCTCCCCATAGTTACCTCTTCCCTGTGTCCTTCCCTTCATGCACTCCTGCTCCCTGAGCTCTTTCCCTGTGTATACACTGCCCTTCTAATCTCCCATGATTAATCTCTCCAAGGAGTATATCTACCTAATGTAAATGTTCAGCTTATACACCTGTCTTTTATTTGGCTGAAACCCAAGAACTGGGTTCAATTCCAGACCTCAAGGGCAGCTAGAGGCCATAGTGTCAGTAGTTCCATCAGGCTCTATCAGACCAGCAAACCTGGTGCCTTTTTTTTTTTTTTTTGATTTTGAGTTTTGTTCCATGTTTTTCTCTATCCAGGTTTTCCTACATAGATCCCCCTCTGAGTGGTTGACAGTGGTAGCTGGGCACCATCTAGTTCTTCTGGTCTCATAGCTGTATAGACTGCGGATCACGTGGTGTACCAGTTGCCAAGGCTACTGTCTTGACAGAAGCAGACTGCCACATTTTTCTCCTGTGGAGTAGCTGGTGGATTTGAACCACTAACCTTCCACTTAGCAGCCACCGCATCACCTGGAGTCCTTGAAAATGTACTAAAACTATCAAATTGTATGCTTTAATTGGGTGAATTTTATATATCAGTAATGCTGTAAAAAGGTTAGGTGGCATCAGAGTGGGGCAGTCAGCCCTCTGCTTGTCATGCAGTGATGCAGGCCAGACTGCCACATTGTTTCACTGTAACTTTCCCCACTTACAGATGTCAGTAGCAGTGTGATCAGAGAGCTTGTGTTGGATACTGTTAGATCCTTGGAACTCAGGTCAAGGTTATGCTATAGCTTGTTAAAGCAGTACCGTATTCCTTGGAGCAAAGGGCATGATTGAAGAATGGAGGTATCCTTAGAAAACCAAGCGTTCTGAGGGCATCAGTTATGATGCCTCTCATGGGAGAGACAGTAATGAAATGGGGCCTGAGTATATTCATCTTCCATCTTCATAGTGAAGAGCGTAAGGGCTTAGATGTCTTCTGTTGGCAGTTTCTGTCTGGGGGCCTTTGCAGCCCTCAGTCAAGGGCATTGATAGAGCTTAAACACGTACATGACCCTGCCCCTTCTGCCCTCCAGGATAGCCTTGTGTGACCTGCATCTCAGTGGTCTCATTGTGCTAATGACAAATCACTGTGTTACCCTCTCTCTCTCCTTTTCAGTATCTGGTGTCTTTGATCCAGGACAAACTTGGATGGATGTGGGTTTTCTATTTTTTCATTCTCATGGTAAGTGTGTGTCCATGTGTTTTAACTAATCATTTTTCTTATCACTTTATTTTGAAGCATTTACTTAAGTCACCTCTCAAAACCAGTAGATTGGATGATTTATTTCAAAGACTCTTTTGTGAAAAGGAACATTTCATTCTACTAAAAAGACGACACTTTTTTAAGGATGAGATGGCCCCTCGTTTGTCTTTGTGCGGAGTCTAACGAGTATTGTTGTCTAGAATTCAGAAGAACTAGCAGTGAAAGACTGTTTACAGTGTCCCCAGCCCCTAATCAGTGTCCTCTTCCAAGGTCCTCTCCACTGTCAGTAAGGGTGGAGATTGTGAAGGAAGTAACAGTGCATGCCAGGCAACACGGGATGACAAGTTTGTGTTGCCCTGACCCTCACTGGCGTAGTGTGTGTGTGGAGTCCAGAGCAGGCCGGCACTGGGAAGCGGGTGCCGTGCCCTGGACTCCGGTGCCGGGACGTTGTGCCGTCTGGGGAGTAGCCGGTGCAGAATGGTGCCTGGTGCTTGGACGCCTTGCTCTCTGAGCGAGCGTGTGGCGTTGTCGATGAGACGATGCTCACGACGGGGCTCCTGGGGGTTCTGGGGACTACCTGAGCCCTAAGTGTGGTGGGGGTTCTGTGCTGTCCAGTCGGTCCTGAGACTAGAACTGCCCTGTAGGGCTTTCTAGGCTGTGAGCTTCACGGGAGCAGATCTCCAGGCCTATCTCCATGGACCCACTGACAGTTCAAACTGCCAGCCTTTTGGTTAGTGGCCAAGTGCTGAACCATTGCACCACCAGGGCTCCTGCACCCAACTCTGCCCACTGCCTGCTGCCATTGTCACTGAGTTGGTTCCAACTCATAGTGACCCTACAGGACAGAGTAGAACTGCCCCAGAGGTTTCTAAGGTTGTCAGTCTTTACAGAAGCAAAGCCCAAACCAAACCCACTGCTGTGGAGTCGATTCCACTCCCGGCACCCCGAGAGGACAGAGTGGAGCAGCCTCACAGGGTTTCCAAGGCTGTCAGTCTTCACAGAAACAGTCTGCTTTGTTTATTTCCCATGGAGTGGCTGGTGGGTTTGAGCCGCCGTCCTTCTGGTTAGCAGCCAGATGCCTTGCCTCTATACCAGCAGGACTCCTGCACCTAAGTCCTGGGCATCCTACTGAGAATGCCTTCAGTGGTTTCTTCAGTAGCCCTGGTCACCACAGTATGCCAGCTCGGCTCGCCTTGCGCAGGGGCCCGAGGTGGTCCGTGCAGCAGGTGCTCCGTGCAGCTGGCTCCAGGCCTGGGTCTGTCCCTCCTCTCTCAGAGGCTGCTTGCTTGTGCCTGCTGGCCCTCTAGTTTCCATGGCGGACCATGTCCCCTGTACCCTATTCTGACATGTCCAAGAGGGAGCTGTCTCCTGATGAATCTGCTGGTGAGCCTCCGAGAAGCTCTCGGAGAAGGGAAAGCGGGTCTGTTGTGAGAAACACGGCGTCTGATTAGAGCTCCAGTGTCCATGTTGTGTTCTCCAATGGCATGTGGTTTAATTTCTGTACCCCAGTCCTTTGGAGACTGCAGCGTAACATTAAGTGTTTTGTAATAATACCAACTGTCATTTTAAAAAAAATCATTTTCTGATTCATTTAAGATAAAGTGTTAGCTTAAATTGCTGGCTTGTCCCCTCCGTCATGATGCTCAGGCCAGGGTGCTGCGTTGTTGTTGGGTACTGTCAAGTTGTCTCTTACTCATAGCGACCCCAGGTAAAGTAAAGCAGGACACTGTCTGCTCTTGTGCCAGCCCTGATCCTTGCTCTACCTGAACTCATTGTCACAGCCACTGTGTCTGCCCATCTTGATAAGTGCCTTCCCCTTTTTCCTTGACCCTCCACATTGTTGTTGTTGTTATGTACCGTCGAGTCAAACCTGACTCATAGCGACCCCTCCTTGGGTTTCCGAGGCAGTATCACTACGGAAGTAGGATTGCTCAACCTTCCTTCCAAGGAGTGGCTGGTAGGTTTGAACCGCCAGCCGTCTGGTTAGCAGGCAAGTGTCTTAGCCACTATGCTACCAGAGCTCCCGACCCTCCACATTAGAAGTTGCTAAATTGCTGCTGTGTTTTCCCTCTTCTTTCTTTTCACAGACAAGTTGTACAATTGTGTTTATCTCACCGTTAGTTGTGAGGGAAATAGGCCAGCTTGTGCGGCGGAGGCAGGCTCACCCATTGAGCGAGTGACTGGTGCGCTCCAGAGAAAGGGATGGTGGCTGGCATGCTGGACGTTGCCTGTGAGCTCACCACAACCTGGGGCTATCCCGCTGCCCTGGCCGTCAGCCGCTGGCGAGATGCTTGTCGGTCACGGGGCCTGGTGCTTTTTCCACACACATGATTACTGGTGGTGATCTGTTGCTGTTGCGTGAACGTGCAGCAGACCTGCTGGCCTCTGGCTGGCTGGAGGCTTCCCCGCTCAGCCTTACCTGCCTCACCGGACACAGGTGCTCATTCTCCAGCCTCCGGAGCAGCACAGCACACACAGCTGTGTCCAGTGCGCCACGGACCGAAGGGTCATGCGTTTGGCCTTGGCTCTGCATCTTTGGCGAATGGGTCATCTTTGATGCAGTAAACCCTGATGTCCAAGCTGGACCATGCGCCCCACTGCTCACCTCACGGGAAGGGTATACTACTGCCAGGGACTCTGTCCCTATCCTGTCGAGAGTCATCCCACTCCACAAGCAAAATCCCTTCAAATCATTGTTACCCTGCTCCACCCTGTCCTTATTCAGAATTTATGTTGACTCCGGAGCACACCCAGCCGCCTTTTCAAAGACCGTCAGCACATCCGTCATCTGGAACATTCCGACAGGTGACTCACAGACAGAGGCCTCGGCCGGATCAGCTGCCTGGGCACTTTAAGTCCACTGGGAGTTGGTCTGCTGGGCCCTGTGCCGAGGGCTCGCACAGATGGCCAGACTTCGAGCAGAGGAAGAGGCCTGTCGTCTTAGCGATGCTCCGTAAAAGACTTTGAGTCACACCTGTGATGACTAGGGCCTGAGGGGATCAGGCCTTTAGAGAACTGTAGAGGGTGTCTTCAGGGTGGTTGTAGAGGTGTGCATAAATTAGGGAAGAAAGGGGGCAATGTGCAATTTTGAGGAACCTTGATTCACGTTGGGCTTGGGATTGTTTCTGCTTCTTTATACTCTGAAACGTGTTTCTGAACTTGTAAATGAGGTTATTGAATCAATTTGCAATCTGTTTACTGCTTATTACTGACAAAAAGAGAAAATACGAAACACAGAAAGGAAAAATAAACTGACTTTTCTAGTAAATGCACGTCCGTTGTTTCATTTAAACGTCCAGTCTGAGCTCTGCGTTTAGAGTGTGGTTGATGCTGTGGGGTTTCCTCGCGGTCTTGCGCTAACCCTGCAGGGCCAGCACTTTCACGGCTTCTGTGAGGAGCTGAGGGGTGGTCCTGCCCTGTCACGTCTGCAAGCTGTGTCCCCCGCTCCCGTGCTGTGCTGAGTGTGCATGAGCTGCCTGGTTTTAACTTCAGAGTCTGCAGACAAGGCCTTTAGTAGTGTTGAACCCTTTCCTGACACATGGGCAGACATTCTCCCCCCATGGAATCTGAATGGTTGCATCTTAGTATCCTGATCTCAGCCCTTGTTTTCTCTCCAGTGCAGACTGGCCAGGGGTGTGTCCCACTGAATTCTCTAGAGCCCTGTCTCTCCCTGTCTTAGTCGCCTAGCATGGCTGTAACAAACCCCACCAGCGAGCGGCTGTCATGCTCTCCTAGCATGGCTGTAACTAACCCCACCAATGGGTGACTCTACAAGAGAAGTTTATTTCCTCACGGTTAGGATGCTGGAAGTCTGGATTGGGGGTGCCGGCTCCAGGGTTGGGGAAGGATCTTGTCTCAGCTTCTCTAGCCTGGCCGTTGCCCGGTTCCTTGGACATCTGCACATGACAGCTGTCTTTCCCTCATCTGTGCCAGCTTCTCTCTCCTTAAGACACACCCCACACGGCTGTGACCTTGTTAACAGAACTTGTTCCCAAATGGGACCCCATCGGCAAGTACAGGGGTAAGGGTTACAGCTGCTGTCTTGGGGGCAGTTCGGTCTAACGGCATGTGAAATACATTTGTGACTAAGTTGGGTGCTTGCTTGAGGTGCTGTAGGGCACTAAGGAGGTTTCCTTACACTGCTTCTTACCTGGCGGTCCACAGCAGTTCACCTCAGACCCCTGCCCTCCCAGTCGGCTTCCCTCTGGTTTCCCTGCAGGAAAGGCCCTCGGGAGGCTGATGTGGCTGTGCCCTCTGCCCAGCAGCTCCACCCACCTCTCCCTGGGCAGCACACGATACCCGTCTGCCCATCTTTACCCTGTTTTCATAGGGTTTGCTTTTAGGGGTAGAACTCTTGCCTTCCGTGAAAAGACCAGGCTGTGTTCCCGTCGAGCACCTCACACAGAGCACCCGCTGGAATCCGTCGGCGGAGGCTGCATGTTGCTACGCTGTGGACCTGGTTTCAGTGAGCCTGCAGACCAAGACACCAGGAAGAAAGGCCTGGCAGTCCTCCAGAACTCAGCCAGTGGACACCCCGTGGATCACCACGGTTGAACAGGACACAAATCGGGCCGTGCCCCTGACCCTGACCACAGCCCTTCCACTGTTTTTCGTCTGATGCTGCTGCACGTGCAGCCAACACCCAGAGGCTGTGAGGGCTGCCGCAGTTACCCAGCTGCCTCGGGGCGGATACTCTCTCCTGGGCCTCCAGGACGGCTGCTCCTCGAGAACCACGCACCGTGAGCAGCGAGCCTTTTACCCAGTACTGCCTGGTATGTATGTGTGTGAGTGTGTGTATGTGTACATATGTGTGTGGATATGTGTTATGGATGTAGGAGTGTATGTGTTTTTATGAAGTATGTGCATGTGCATAAGAGTGGGTGTATATGTGTGTACTTGCATAGTGTGTATGAGTTGTATGAGTGTGAGTATATTATATATGTGTGTATCTTTGTGTGTATGTACTTATGAGTGTATATGTGTGTACATGTATGAGTATGGATGTGTGTGTATTTGTATGTGTGCTTGGATGTGTGTGTCTTTGAATGCGTATGTGTATGTATGAGTGTATGTGTATATGCATGGATGTATATATGTATGTGTGTGTCAGTGTGTGTGTGTGTGTGTCTGTGTGTGTGTGGTAAACAGACCAGTTGCCATGCAGACAGCTCTGACTCAACGGTGACACTACATGTGTCAGAGTAGAAGTGAACTTCACGCATTTCTTTTCTTTTTTTATCTTACTATGTTTTTGGTGAATATTTGCACAGCAGCTGAAGTTCCCGTTCACCAGGCTCTGCACGCGCTGTTCCATAGCCTTGTTTCCGTTCTTCACACTGTGTGGACATTTGCATTGTTTCTGTCCTGCTTGTTCGGTTCCACTCCTCTACTCCCTGCCCCCTTACCTTTTTTTCTTTACCATTTGGGCTCATGTATGTGACCTTTTAAGGGAGTGCTGTGCTCACAGGAGATCATTGTGATTTTAGCCAATATGTTATTTTGGGACATCGGGTTTGTTTTGGTTCAAGTGTGAAGATTATCTCGGGGTGGTAGACTCGGGGAGTCCTCCCGTCTCGACCCGTCCTGGAGGTCTGGCTGGTTGTGTTTTCAGGAGTGGGCCGTTCTGCTCTACATCTTGACCATTCTGTCAGGGTCTGTTTGTTGTGGGTCCGTGAGGGTCTGGTGGGTCCATGAGGCTCTGTCTGTAGTGGGTCTGTGAGGGTCAGTCTGTTGTGTGTCCATGAGAGTCTGTCTGTGGTGGGTCCATGAGGCTCTGTTGTAGGTCTGTGAGGGTCGGTCTGTTATGGATGCATGAGAGTCT